AAGGCCAATAATGTTGAAAGTATTCGGGAGCTTTTATCTAATGCCTAAAAGATTTTAGGGTTACCTCTTCAGAGGGGGAAATGTTAGAGTACCCAAAAGCCGCATAAAAATAAATAAATGAACGAAGAAAAAAAAAAGATAAACTGCTAAGTATGTAGGAACTCAGTGAATTTATTAAAGAGCAAAATTAGTTCTTACCTCAGAGACATTCTTAGGTTTTGAAAAACCTTAATTTCAGACTGCTTCCCTTCTCGTGCACATTGTATTTCTTGTGTAGTGATGTATTTGGATCTGTAAATTCTATGATGTGTTTTGAGTAGGTATTGTATGGATCTTCATCAGCATGGGAGGAAAAGCCAAGTAGAGAGATGATGTGTCATGATTATTGGGTTTATATTTCTTTAAAGACATGTTTTCAACCAAAAACTTTTACAGGCCTGCAGAATTTTTGCTTATGTTATTCAAAACTAATGATTTGCTTGCTACTTTGACAGAGTTAATAAGAATCCCAGTTTTTGAGTTTTCATACTATGATAAAAAGCCAGGATTGATTGGCTTTGTTGAATGAACATTGTTACAAATTCTGAATACATATTTGGCTAATACAGGTTTTTTAAAAAATCACTTTTCATACAGCATTGAATAGTGTGGAAATCCCCACATAAATCTTCAGGCTCTCAGTTTCTTGTGACAAATGACATGATCTGATAGCAGCCCTAGAACTTGCAAGGCTGGTTGAACCTTTGTGATACTGCTTCCTTCAGAGGATAAAACCCTTTCCCAGCAGGATCCGCGCCCTTGCCTTAGGCTCTTGCTACTCTGCCAATTCCGATGCTTGGTGCGTGTTGTGAGCTTGTAGGTTTGTGCTCCTGTTGTAAAGAATGAGCTAGCTGTTCATGTGGTGGACTATCCAGGAGGTGCAGGGAAATTGAGTGCATGTCAAATTACTTGTAGTCTGACTTCCCCCACATAAGCCCTTGTTAATACTTGAGTTTGTTTGTGCCCAGGCCTCTCTGTGTATACGTACGTGTATGTATATATTTCTTTTAAAAGCAGTTTTATTGAAATACAGTTGTTATAGAAGAATCTGAACATAAAGTATATAATTTTATGTTTTAAAATTTATAATCACTCATCACCATCTTCATAATCAAAATAATGAATATATCCATCCTCCCAGAAGTTTCCTCCTACCTCTTTGTAATGTTTCCCTCTCCCCTGATCCTTCTGATTGTGCCTCTTCTCTCAGCACCCATTGATCTGTTTTCTGTCAAAGAGTAGTTTGTGCTTTCTAGAATATTATGTGTTTTAGCATTTGTGATTACAGAGTCTTGCACCTTTTTTTATTTAGCATGACTTTGAAGAGTAGTGAGATTGTACTTTTATAGTACTGGAGACCAGACCTAGGACGTCTTGCATCTAGACCAGTGCTCTTCCACTGGGCTGTATCCCCAGTCCTAGTTGCCTATTTTCTTTCCTGCTAGTCTACTGGTGTTTTAGTCTTTTACTGGGTTTATATGAGCTTTACCTTTATTAATACGTTTTTCAACATTGTTAGACACGGTCTCCAATTTCTATTTTCTTTTATAATTTCATTTTAGACATACAGAAATGTATTTTTCTTTATCCACGTTTTATAGAGTTTCCTTTGTAAGGCAAGATATATAAGTAGGAGGGCTGCAGAGATGGCTTAGAGATTAAGAGCACTGGCTGTTCTTGCAAAAGACCTGGATTCCAATTCCAGCATCCACATGGCAGCTAACAGCCATCCAGAACTCTAGTTCCAGGGGATCCAACACCATCTTCTGTCCTCTACCAACAGTGCCCAGGTGCACTCACACACATGCAGGCATAACACTCATACAGATAAAGTAAAACAAAAATAAATCAAAAAAGATACATCAGTAGGTTAGGGAGTAAGAATTACCTTGTTCTATTTTTGATGGCCTTTATTTTTTTAATTTTTAAAAACTATGGTGTGTATGTGTATACATGCACATACCATAGCACTCTGTGGAGATCAGAGGATAACTTGCTCCAGTTAGCCTCTTCTTCAGTCAAGTGTGGAACTCAAGTTGTAAGGCTTGGTGGAAAGCTTCCTTATCCACTGATCCATCTTGCCAATGCTTTTATTGCTTTTCTAAGAAACTCAAAGTTTGTGTATGAGGTTTGGGGAAGGACACTACATGTGACTATTAGGTAATGTGCGTTTTCCCTGGAGTTGATAGTTGTTAATTAACAAATGTTGCTGATAATTGCCGATCGTTGACCATTTTTGTCATCATATGTCGTAATTCTGAGCGTTGGAGGACTAGGTGTGGGTAGGTACTTTGGGGATCTTGGGTAGCCAGTGTGGCTTGTGCTGCAGATAGAAATGTCACGTCTGAATTTATTTTCTACTTTGTTTTAGATCTGTTTGCATTTGAGGAGGAGCCGTAGTCCTGCCTCACAGCATAAGGGATGGGATCAGAGAACAGTGCTTTAAAGAGCTATACATTGAAGGAACCGCCATTTACCTTGCCCTCCGGACTTGCCGTTTATCCTGCTGTGCTGCAAGATGGCAAATGTGCTTCGGTGTTTGTGTATAAGAGAGAAAACGAAGACAAGGTTAACAAAGCTGCCAAGGTACTATGATAGGTGCAGACTTGATAGTACTTTTTAACTGTCTTATTTTCTATTTAGCAATGAAATTAAAGATAAAAGGAGCTAGGCCATGGGCTATAATTTTAGTACTTAATGTCGTACAAAAACACAGTTTTTCTAATTCTGTGCTCATATCTGCACCATACCATCATTATACCCAAAAAGTGTCGCAAAACTCAGTGGATGATTTTTATCATCATACTTTTTTTTTTCTAATGAGAAAAGGGGATAATTTCATGTGGTTAGGAAACATAGAATCAATCAGTTTAATAAAAATTCTGCTAATTATTGACATTTTTAATTAGTATGTTGATGTGCTTGAAAATAATTTTTCTTTCCATGAGACATTATAGTATCTTAGTATAATGTCATTATAATGTCATGTTGGACTGGAGGCCACAGAAAAAGTGCTGGACCAGCTCTGGTTCTTAGTGAAGAGACCTTACATAGGTCATAATGCTTCTGGAGGCATCCATTTCTGCCTTAGGAGAAGGTCCTTCTTGCTAGCAACTGCTCACTGTTGCCCTTGGCTAGGAGTCCAGTGCATCCGTATGTTACTGACACTGTCAAAATGTTGGCTTCTTAGGTGAAAATGACTCAGGCTGGTGGTATAACTCAGTGATAGAATTTTTGCCTAATATGTTTAAGAACCTCAGAGTTGTCCTCAGCACTGAAAAGAAAAAAAAGTGAAAAAGAAAAGATAGAAAGAGAAAGAGAATGATGACCTCATCTTAGACTAGTAGTCAGTGAGGTAACTTCTATTATCTTAAAGAAAGCAGAGCGTTAGTTAGTATTTCCTTGGACAGCCAGCCTTTTGCATATTTAATAATTCAGATAATATTCAAAAAGTTTATAAAAATATAGTTATGATCATTAATTCTTCAGTGTTTATGGTAGGAACAGGAACAGCGGTTTTCAGTTTGAATCTATTTTCATATCTATTTTGTTAGAATCGAGGTCTAGATATTACTGTGAGTTTGAAGTCAGAAATAGAGCACTGATATTTATTTCACAGAAATCCTTAAATGTTTTTTTCTTTTATGTTGGCTATAAAAGGATATATTAGTAATATAATTTTGTCATTTCATTGGTCACACTAATTCATGATGTAGTTTTGATAAGCACAAATGCTTGTTAAATGGCTTCTGAGGAAAAGTACATGTGTAACAATCTTCTAAGGATGTATTTTTCATTTATTTTATTTGTTTGTGAGTTCTGGGGCTCAGGTGGTATCTGCTAAGAACTCTAAGCTAAATCCCCAGTCAAGGATGCATTTTCTTGTAATGCGTTGTGATAAAAAGTATAGCTCATATTTTTACTAAATAATTTTACATTTTGTTAAAGCCACTTTTTTTGTCTCTTTTCCACCCCATCTATGTATTTGTTAATTTCACTCTCTTAATTCAGTTAACATTCAGTATATGTCCAATTATTTTCAGCTATTAAGAATGTATATTTGTTGCAAAAGTTTCTTTGATGAGTGGTGACTGGCATACTTGTCTGTAAATACAATGATTCATATTTAGAGCACATAGTAAGAAGTTACATTTGTCTAGGGATGTGGCAGGCTTGGGGTTTTCTCTAAGGTCTGTGACCTCTCCAGCCATATGTATTTGGCTTGCATACAGTACCACACGAGTTTCCTCCCATTGAGTGGGCTTTATTCGATTAAGTAACTGTTGATTACCCCTAAGATAAAAGTGCCACTACTGCCCCAATAGTTTGCTATGCCCATCATTGTTGTGGTTATTAGGGCTTAAAGCTTGGGTTGGACCTTTGATTAATGTTCTCCCTTACCAGTGTGCGCAGTGTTCTCCAAAACTATGAGAGCTAGCCTTCAGGGAGGTGGCTTCCAGGTCAATTTCAACTCTCCAAGTCCTGTGTATAAAGTATGTCCTGTCTTCATCAATAGGGTCTTACCTTCAAGTTACTGGGAGGCAATCAAAGGCTGTGTCAATAGCCTGTGTAATTTTGGGAGTCTTTTGAACTACCCTAGCCAACAACTGGAAGGGAGGTTTCTCTTGTCTGACACTGTTTCTTATTATATAGCCTTCAGCTGTACACATGGACGCATGTTGAGATAGTGTATATGTAATTTCACAGTAGGTTTTTGAACTAATGTTTCCCTCTGGTTTTTCATACCAGCTAGGCATTATTGATCTCTTCTCTCTCTCCCTATCTAACCCTTCCTCCTCCCTCCCAGTTAAAGTACCTCCATTTTGCCCATTTCACCCTTGATAATATAATACCTGTCTCTTATGGTTCCCTCCTCTCTTGAGCTCCTTCTTTCCCTTTACATAGTTCATACCCAACCCTCAATGACACATCTACAATGGAACTTCTATACCTAAGGCTCAAGGAACATAGTGGAACAAAGGGTAGAGAGAACACTAATGCATCTCTCAGCTCACATCAGTGAAGCTCCTTCATGCAACAGAGCACATGCAATGAACACAAAGGGCCACAAATGGCCAAAGTATAGAGAATAATAGTCTGCAGAGTGTGGGTCCTTGGACAGCACTCCTGTATTAAACTTCACCCACCCAGGGCCCAGGGACCATTGTGGAAGAGGGGGCAGAAAGATTGTAAAAGCTAGGGGAGAGTAGGTGCACGACCATATGGAAAAAGAGTCTTACAGGCTTCTGGGACCTTGCACATATGAACTTATACCATTGGTGACAGCATGCACAAGACCCATGTAAACTCAGACAAAAACCTAGCATAGAACTATGGAAATGGTCAGCAGGCCCCAATATTAGCCAAAGATTAGCAGCTGATTATTGCCCAGTAAGGAAGAGCTGATCTTCTTTAAGGGAGTGACTCTAGATAGACTGGACCCAGTTGATGAACTTGTACTGAGGGACATTTGGGTACACGTGACTTGATTCAGTAGGCCTTAACATAAGTGATAGAATGCATGAAATCCAATAGGAGGTTTTAGGAGGGGGCCAGTGGGGAAGGGGGTATAAAGATGATTAAGATGTTGTGTATGAAATGCATAAAAATTCAATAAAAAATACACACACACAAAATGTATGTTTGAGTTTTTATAACTTAGAGCAACTATAGCCAGTCAGGTACTAGAAATTTATAATCTTTCTTAGTTCTTTTTAAGACTATTGTTTTTTAATTATATTCTCTTTTGTAGCTTATGTACCCCAAAGTCAAATAATGTAGATCATTGTATTTTTATAGGAAAAACCATCATAAAACTCTGCTTTTCGTGGTGAGGACTTTTATGCTATAGGAATGTTAGAGCTTAAGAGTAAAGGATTTTTGCCTTCATATCCAAAAATGCCCTCTTCAGTCATGGCTGAGCCTCTGCAGATAGCCTGCACTGGTTTCTTCTGCCATGTTGTGGTTTTGAAAACCTCAGACACAGTACTTGAGAAGTGTGTGGCATTTAGCAAGTGAGGCTTGGGAATGTGATATTCCAGATACATAAATACTAAGGCAACTTGTTAGCTCATTCCTCTTCTCTGTAGTAGGGTTCTTGGTCCTGCCTCTGATAGTTTCAGTGATTATCTCAGTAGTGTTTCCTTGGCAGTTATTTCTAGGAAACAGACTTTTTCTACTATTATAAATAAAAAATAACCCTGTTATGACTTTTTTCTAGTTCCCCGTCTAGAACTTGTAATGCCTTTAATTCTTTAACTCTTGCCTTTAATTCTCCTTCACATCTCCTATTTATGATTCAAGGACTTTCTATTCCCCTTAGAGACAAGAGTTATGCAATTTGGGAGTCTTTTAGATAGACTCACTGAAGGGGTATTCTAATTGCCTCACCCTGCGTCCCTGTTCAGCATGGAAGAAGTCAGAGCGGTCTGAGTCCCTATTCCCTATTGGTAGTTTGGGTAACCCCTTCAGAGGAGGGCGTGATAAGAATAGGAGGTAGGAATTGGCTAAGCAGTTAGGATAAAAAGACCCTAAGGAAATGTAGCCAGTTTCTTGGCTAAAAGTCAAAATGTCCTTGGGCCTCTTAGCAACATACTCT